GAGTATCGTGATAGATGAGGCAGTTTCACATCACGGTCCAGTGCACAAGAGAACACACATTAGAGTTTCTTAAAAAGCATTTTCAGACCTAGCAGGCTCCCAAGGTTATAATTGTTTGTAGTCCCCCTGACCCCAAGAACTTTTCATGGCCAACGTAGAGATTAGGTACAATCTACTTGTGTTATAAGAGAATTAGTGGTGCTTCTTACTACACTTAGCATCTGCAGCATTGGGGAGCATGGATATTGTATAAATTCCCATTTTGAAGCACTACCAGTACTTTGGTTAAGCCACTGTAAAGCTATCGGTATGCATTTGTTCATAGTTTGTAAAGTATTGTTTTCATTAGAATAAACTTATATAAACATCAGCAATATTCCTAGCAAAGCAATTAGTCCTCATGTGAACACAATGTGAGTAAATTTGTGTTGCTGAATAACGGTAGCATTTAATGTAACTTGGTTTCATGCCAAACAGACATATGGATCTTTAAATGTTTTCCCCTTGTGGCTTCATTGAAATCCTCCACTAAGATGTGCTGAATTCCATTCCAGGCTTTCAGGCTCGCTGCCCTTATTGCATGAGGTTTTGAAATGTGACAAGTAGAGTTGGATGAAATTTGTTTAATCAAAACAATATTTCAATGAAAAAATAGCTTTTTGACAAAATGGAAATTTTGCCAGAGAATATTTGGTTTTTATCACAATTGTAGTTTTTCCTCAGAAAAAAACACTTTGTCCTTGTTTTTGAAAACCAAAATCAGATTTTTTTTTTTATTTCTCTCCCTCCCCCTGTCCCTTCTCCTTTAAACTTCCTTTTTTCCATTTTGCCACTGTAAGCGGAGGAAGGGGGGGATTTTTTTTCTTACATCAAATACACACAAAATTCACTTTTTACAAAAATGTTTACAGAAAATACTCTATTTTCAACCAGCTCTGACAGGTTGCTCTTTTCCCTTGGCAGGAAGGAATGAGGGGAAGATGACATTCAGCAGTCTTTAACCAAACATTTTTGTAGGGTAAAGTAACCTCAGACAGCATTACGTGTGAAACACAAATAATACTAATATAGTCCCTGGTCCTGCAAATACATATACAGACACTTAACCTCATTTTCGTGAGTAGTCTTATTGAAATCAATGGAACTACCCATAGCGGGAGGGAAAGGGGGAAGAAAAGATGGTCAGTCATGTTTTACAGTGCATGCTGAGTGAAATAGAAAAAGGTAAGCAAACAACATAAATGGTGTAATGCAGTTGTGACAAATATGACAATATTGTGGCCAACCCTTACGAAATTAAGTTAAAATTTACTAAATTAAGTGCTTTAGGAATCAATTGTATTAGTAATGGAAATGTTTATGTACTGTTGTGGGATTGTATAGAACTTTCTTAGGAGGAAGACACAATTAATGCGATCTAGGAAGTGTTAGGTACTTCAAAGGACTTCTTGGGAGAATACATGTGAAGGGGATTTTTTAGGAAATACTTGTGGGAAGGGGAATGCAAATGACCCATCTCTGAATCCATTCTTTTAAAGCTGAGCCTTGAGCAGAAAACCATTTTCTGGCTGGTTACCTATTCCTGGTCTCTTCAAAGGCCTTAACTGGATAAATGAGTGACTCAGAGTCATAATGTTTTTTGTTCTGGGCAAAGGGTGTTATGAACTTGAAGCCACATGAAAACACCTGTGTGGGGTTTTAAAGGACTGCTTACTGGCCAGAGCCCATGTAGGTAGGAGTTGATGTGATCTCTCGTAGGCTTATTAGCATGTGTGCAGATTCTTTTGTTGTTTTTGGAATGTTTTCTGCTACCAAAGAATAAAATAGGCTTGCTTAGAAAGAGCTATGTGGTAATTTATAACTGAGGCAATTACACTGTGTACCATCTCTGAAGAGAAGGTAAAAGAAGCTTGCTTAGGTCTTTTGCTTGTCTTTTGCTGGGGATATCACAGTTCAGTCAGGGAACAGTGCAGACTGGAAATACCCTGGTCAGAAGGGAGAGAGATGCATCTCCACCAAAGAGAGGCCATGACTGGGGACCAGAAGCATAAGAGTGGGGATGCCCTTGCTGCAGCATGGAGGGGGAATGCAGGTGCAGTTGCCCTGAACTATGACAGCCTTGTTAACAGCTCTCATAATTTTAATGCAAGTCTAGCAATATTTAATGTGTTTCTTAAAGCCCTAGTTCCTGACATCACATGAATACGTAAGAATCTCAGCTTTCATTTATAAAAAAAAAAAAAACTACTAGCCATCGTGACTGTGGAGAAAAGCTTGAAAATATGACCTCAGTCCAGATTTAAAGGCTCAAAAACCAGGAGCAAATAGAAAACCCAAAATGCAGTCTCTTTAAAAAAAAAAAAAAAATCTCCCGGATTTTAAAGGCAGTCTCAAGATTTTGTGGGGCTGACTCATGATTTTTGAACCCTTCTGGAAATGTAAATTAGACTGCAAAAATTCTTTCATTTTTAACAAACTCTGATCCCTTTGTGGATTGTTATCTTAACTCTCATGGAGTGGCACTTTACTCCACCGTGGTTCCATTGACGTCAGTGGGACTGCTGGGGAACTCGGGTACTACTCAAAGAGTCTCACAATTTGTTCCAGTGCTTGGAACTTAAGCGCAGCGGTTCTTTTAAAACCAGCGTTGGTGTTTACAGCAAAATGACTATCCAACTTCAAGAGAACCATGCACCAGGTACTGTAACCAGATGAAATCAAAAGATCAGGCTTAGTGAGCGTATGATGTTTTTTGGGTAAGAGAAGCTCTTATTCATGCATTTGGAAACAGGTTGGGCCAAATGTCTAGAACTTAATGCATAAACAGAGGAAGCCAGTGAAGGGATTCGACGAGCGGAGTGACACGATCCAAGCAGCAGATGAATTTTTTTTCCAGCTTTTTGGAAGGTCTTGACAATGAGGTCAGAAAGAGGTTAAGCTAGTCAAAATGAGAATTGGCCAAAGGCCACGGACACGGGTTTTAGCAGTAGGAATGGTAAGGGAAGAATAGATTTTAGACCTCTACCAGGAGAACACTTGGGGCCAGATTTATTGGTAACCTTCAGCTACTGTGTGCTTCTTTGGTGATGCAATCTCTGCTTAAACCGTTAAGCTGGTTTTACGTCTCTGTGTTGTCAGTGACGCAGAGCTAGTGAAGCTTAGTAAATCTGGCTCTTGGTTCTCCTACTTTTTATATATTTTTTCTTTTGATTTATAATAATAAAATGTACACCGTCACTAACCTCCTGTCTACCATGCTGACCAATATTGTCTCCGTTTCCTTGTACTTCATATATCTGTCTGTATCCACCTGTTGTCTCTTTTATAGTTAACTTGTAAGCTCTTTGGGGGGTCTCTTTGTTCTGTGTTTGTACAGAATCTTGCACAATGGGGTTCGTCCATCACCGGGGCTCCTAGGCACTACAATAATACAAATAATAAAATTACCAAACCAAGTACACAGTTCAGTCAGCTCATGCCTGAACCATCTCCTCTCATCATCTTATACTTCAACTCCTCCCTGTCTCTTCAAAGGCTGAGGCTAAGGCTGCCAACATAAGCTGTAATGTAGACATAGCCCCAGTGAAACAAATCAGCCCTGCAGCTTGCCCTGAAAGAGACAGTAGGGTGTTCTAGAAACCTGTTCCCCTTATGGGGAGAATGTCCTGCCCACTATCCCCGCTGTTATATTAAGGGGTGGGGTCTAGCATTAGTATTTCTGTTGACCAGACCTGTAACGGTGTTTGGGGAGGGGATGGAGGGGAGAGGGAGTAGCAGTCTCTCAGGTAAGCCATTAAATGTAGTAGTAAAAAGGACACAGAAAACTGACGTAGGTTGCTTTAAAAAGCTTTGCTAAACCAATATCAGGCACTAGATCCTCACTTATTATTTTTCACGTACTTGGCTTAAAAATAAGCCAATTTAATTTTCCCGCGTACCCCCTTTCCCTTGCAAAAAACCAACAGCAACAGTTTTTGCCGGGGTGTGTATGTGGGGGGGGGGGATTAGTTTTCAGGCAGAGAGCTTTTATTTCAAGTTTCATCCCAAAGCGGTTTTCTGGCGGTGTTATAAACCCCTAAAAATTGCAGTTCATAATGGAAATGTTGGCAGACCCTGAACAGCGCCGCTGTAATGCAGTGAGCAACTGAGTTTTAAGTTTTTCCACTTTTAGACCTAGAATAAAACTAAATTACAACACTTTCCTTACAGGCATTTAATTTTCCCCCCAGTAACTTCTGCTGGATGTGTCCAGTGTTTCCTGACTTGCTATGTTGCCATTGGACTTCTTCCTATAGACTAGGCAGTTAGTCTTGTTCAGTCAATAGATTTCCCGAAGGAGATGCTCAGACAAACCATTGTTAGCCTAAGGGAAAGGAAACGTAATACGTATCAGGGAGAGGTTACTAAACATGAGAGAAATCTACACTAAATAAGTCCAGAGCTCACTCCATTGTGTGACTTTTGAAACCCATAAAATGGCAAAGGATGCAATTGCATTGTGCTCCAGAATTTAAGCATTCTTCCAAACTCCATCCCACACTTCTATACCAGCCAGGCACTTTCACAAGAGACCACAGTGTTAGCTTTAAGAGGGAGCACTTCTCGGTAATGCTGATTTTCCTTTCCCAAGTCAGAAGAAATAGCGTAGCAATGTGATTAAATGGACTGTCTTGTTTTGTGCAACTGGATTCCAACCAGGAGTAATTTCACTTTGAAATGAATGTAAGAGCAAAGGCTACACAGAAGTCGGCAAGAGGACAAGGTTTGTTCTAGAAGTGTTCCTGGAGTCATTTTTCGTACTGGGGCAGGCGGCAGGAAGCCAAAGTTCAACATGTGGGTTGTGTATAGCCATTCTGTAAGTGACTTAATTGCAAATGATCTATTTAGCTGCTTTACTCCTTCAGGCACAATTTGCAATACCATTCAGTTGGCCTATTATGTTCCTCACATAAGTGATGGAACCAAAAAGAGGGGCGGGGGGGGGGGAGAGAGAGCGAGCATTCTCCAGCAGATTGAGCCCCAGCCTGCGGGGCAGTATCTCCTCAGTTGCTCATCCCAGCTCTGACACAGGCTCCCTCTTGGGAAAACAAGGCAGAGAAGTGATTTAAACCATTTCTAAAATCCTCTGAAGTTGAAGAGTTTTATTATTTACACAACCACGTCCACATCTAAGGTGTTTCCTGGCTTGGGTAAAAGAGAACTATGGGTTTGTGTTTTCCTAGCTGTTAAAATTCTGTAGTTGATAGTAAATTCTGCTGCCCATATCTTTATTGAGTAACAGCTTCCTCCATGAGTAGCAGTCCTACTCAAGTCAATGGGGGTTAGTTTCAGAGGAAGTTGCTTCTCTTTGTGATTAAGGGTAGCAGAATCTGGCTTTTGACGACTGAGCTAATTTTATTAAAATCCCCAGTAAATGACAAGTCCAAAGTATCTTTCCTTTGATCAACTGTTAAAAAACCTCTAACTTTTTATTAAAAATTTCCAAAACTCTTATGACAATTAGCCAGCCTGGGCACCAGATCTAATCGTCTAATTCTTACCGTGATAAAAATATTTTTTCACCTGCCAAAACTATTACGCATCTGGCACGTTTTGTTTTTGTTACAGCTAATACATGTAAGATGTATATGAAATGTTGGCTTCAAACATCTTATGGAGTCTTCCTGTCTGTGCCCACTGCAATCGGGAGTGGACTCACCTGCATGTTGGGAACTACAACATAGTGTATGCGATATGTAGTCCTGGGTGGAATTTCATACTTATGCAGAGGACCAGCGCAAGATGTATGCACAATATAATTTTCACTCCAGCCCTCAAAATAGGACTTCACTGAGATTAAAGAGGTCCATAGGCTTGAGCTGTTCCTTGGCATAGTGGTGGATTTCATCCTTTGTGCTTGCAAATAGATGCTCGTGCAGGCACACTTAGGGAGACCCTCCTGAAAATATGCTCCTTCAAATTGTGTGCTTTATGGATTTCTTCATAAACAGTGGAAATCAATATCTGTCTATCTATGGTATTTATACGGCCCCCATTATAACAGCATCTGAGTATCTTAAAAAATTGAATGCATTTATCTTCAATACCCCCTGTGCAGTAGGGAAGTGTTATCCTCAATTTATAGTAGGGGTTCTCAAACTGGGGGTCATGAGGATATTACATGGGGGGTTGCGAGCTGTCAACCTCCACCCCAAACCCCACTTTGCCTCCAGCATTGATAATGGTGTTAAATATAAAAAAAAGTATTTTTAATTTATAAGGGGGATCACACTCAGAGGCCTGCTTTGTGAAAGGGGTCACAAGTAAAAAAGTTTGAGAACCACTGATTTATAGATTGGAAACTGAGGCACAGACTAAGTGACTTGCCTACGGTCATTCAGTAACTCTGTGGCAAAGCAGAGAATTGAACCCAGTCTCCTGAGTCCCGGGTTAGCATCCTCACCGCACGACCAAGAGAATATGTTTATTTTACTAGAATTACCATAAACATGGAACATTTAAAAACGAGTTGAAATGTTTAAAATCTGTTTAACAGCAGAAAAGCAAGTGTCTCAGGTGACCAAACAAGGTCCCAGTTACTCATTTTATAATGGTTTATTTTCCTCGCTATATGGAAAATGCAATTAAGACTCTTCTATTGAGACGTCTGTTTCATTTGCAGAGAAATCCTATGAGAAATGTTTAAAAACAAAACACACACACACGCACAACCAAAGCCCAATACAGTTAAAAACAGAAGTCAGACATCTCTTTTTCAAAAGCATAGGATATTAATGGAGAAAGCTCTATTTTCATAGCAAAGCAAAAAGAACACTACTCAATAGTATGCATTTCTTAATGTGCATCTAAAGTTTCAAAGTAGTCAAATTTTCCAAATCAAATGATGTATTGCTTCATGTTTCCCAAGTTTTCAGTCACTCATTGTATAAAACATTGGATTATAAAATCAAATGCTCTGAATTTAGTGTTTGTTGGGTATATCAGAAAAAATTCTAATGCTTAAATGTGTTCTAAAGTATGGGGTGGAGGGAGAGTAAAATAGTACTTAAAACTGCTTTTTATTTTTGAGGAGCCCTCTGTTTACTTCAGCTAAAATGCAATGGTAGATGAAAGGGAATAGGCAGAACTGGATCGTTAATATTATTATTTATTATGTGCATTATATTAGTCCCAAGAGTACCCAACCAAGATCAGGTCCCATTGTGCTGGGCACTGTACAAACACACACAAAAAGAGAGAGTTCCTGCTCTGAGAAACTTATCATCTAAATACCGAAAGCAAATAGAGAGAGCGTTCCTATTATGCCTGTGTCAGAGATGTGAAACAGACACAAAGATTCAGTGACATGCCAAAGGCCACACAGGAAGTCTAGTGGCAGACTAGTGCCTTAAACTTTGTTTGTCCTTTTCAGTATGTTAGCTCCCTGTTGTTACTTCGGTGATTTTTTAAAAAATATTTACTGTTAGCACCAATCCAGCTTCAGTTCTGGATTCCCTTGCTCTTTGTTCATCACCATTAAAATCCAGTTAAATTCTCATGAGCATATTCAGATCCCAGTGGTGAAACTTTGAAAGATCAACTTTTGACTTTTAACTACGTGTATTTGATATGGAAATATGAGAGACAATAAATAATATGGAACCCCGCTCTGCTGTTTCAACAAGCTCTCTTCTGGCAATAGCTGCATGCTGAGCTTTTTGTTTTTGAAGATTTCTCGGTTTATGTTACAGAAGGCCCAAGCTGTGATAAACGTGTAAAACACATGAGTGCTGGTAAGAGACTGAACTTTATTTCCTGGCCTAAGGCACATAGGTCAGGGTGCAGTGTCCACTCACTCCAGTGGCTCCTCTTGCATTAGTTTCACATTACTTTAGATGCAGAAAGCTAGAAATCTTTAAGATCTGGGTGTTTGGGAGATGGAGGGGGATAAGTTAATTTTTGCCTCTCAGATAGGCAAAACTTCACAAACTTCTTCCTAAGACACACATACATACTCTTTGTTGTTAAGCCAATAAGGAGCAGATAAAGCTGACCAGTTGAGTTGTTTTTCTCTTCTTGGTTGTATAAACATTTTACATTTTATAGTGTGTGTATGGTCTCAGTCAGGGAGCACATTTATTGTGCATGTCGTTCAGTTTAGATTCTACTGCAGCACATGATTACAGCAACTTAGAGGAAAAAACTGGAAAATAAGTCCCTGATGTAAAACTGGAAACTGAGCCAAAACAGTAGTGCCAGTTATGATTTCAGTGCCTTACACACATTGATTTATGAATTCACTGGAAATGTGATTTATGAATTCAATGCAAATGTATTTAACAATTTTTTAGGACAATTTAGCATATTAATCAATTCTCTCTAAAAGCCAAACATAACATTCTTTTGGAGCCATTTTTCTCTGTCCTTTTAATATTTTCAGGAGAGGTGTTATAGATTGTAATTCTAGGAGGAGGGGAAGGGAAACACAAAGGAAAATTCATGTGTGTGTTTCATTCATTCAGATGTGGCATTTACTGTATCCTTTCAGCCTCACCATACTTGTCTCGAACTGTTTTCATTTTGTTTCCTAATTGCAGAAATTCAACTTTCTAGAACCATTAACAGGGGGAAGACATCTGGGTGGAAGGTGGAGGGGAGCAGGCAAGAACCAGATTACTATTTGGCTACACCTACTATCTAACTCCCGGACCTCATGGCTTGGTCCCAGTTCTGATCCCTCCCAGGTACTTGCTCATCTGGATTTCACTCCATGAATCAGAAAAGACATACCCATCACCCTAGAAATAACATTTAGACTCCCGCACTGGCCAGGGAAGACACTCCACAGATTGGCTGTTGCTCCCTGCAAACCCAGAAGATTCACCCAGCCTTTGGGACAGCACTTACTGCTCTGATAGATCAGCATATGGCCAGAGACAAAGTAATTACACCCCCGGTCATCTTGCTGGACCTTGGCTCTGTTGATCACCCTTGACTTTCCAGGCCCCACGTCATATAACATCCATATGAAATGGTTGTTCACAGCTCCAAAATGCTGTGTAGACATACCCAAAGGGTCCACTTCTCACTCACTCTGTATGGAACCTCAATCAAATCCCTTAACTGCTCGTTGCCACTGGTTTACCCATCAGTAAAGTGGATAGTGTTGTGCTTATTACACCAGGGCGTTGTGAGACAGAGTTACTTGGTTGTAAATGTGCTTTGAGCCATTTGGATGAAATGCACTATAGAAGGTCAGATTAATAATACTGCATTTTGGTCATAACCACCAGGTCAAGTATTTCAATCCTGTCCCATTTCTTCTTTTTTTAAAAAAAAATCCCTGTATTTTTGTAACCTCCATGTAGATCACCTAAAGCACATTTACTCCCTACAATGAGGTCATTTTCCTTGATAATTGGGAAAGTTAAGTAATTGCCTGGAAAAGGTAAACATTTTTTTAATGGCCATGAAGCAAGGCTGAGTTGTTTGATATCTATACTACTGAAATTAAACAGTGGTTTGCATCAACATGAAATCCATCTTGTATCTATCCCATGATGTCATGTGGAACTGCCAGCACATGTAAGTTGATGTGGGGCTATTTCAATATACTTCATTCATGATGGGGAACTTCATTGTGATATCACTTTTTCCCCAGACAGCAAAGGGAAATATATATAAAGGTGGTGCTTATGTGATTGATGTGTATTTGTTGGGGATCTGTTGACAGCTTAAGATGCTGTTGGGAGAGTGTAAATTTCTCAAGGGATTTGTAAAATATAGGGTAGTTGTTGCCTTTCGGTTGAAAGTTTTGAAGGGCAGGACTTTAGCACAATTTACCTGTGATTATATTGATTGCTAGTGAAATGCTGGCACCACCCAGTACAAGAAACTTTAGAAGAATCATCTTTTTGTTCTGTGTTTTTACAGTGCCTACCACAATGGCATCCTAGTCTGTGGCTGGAGCTCCTGGCGATATGGTAATACAAAGAAATAAATAAGTTGCAAGATTCCCTTTAATGGACAAATATAAAATAACCTGTCCATAGCGAAGTTTCTTCCTGCCCCCATGACATTAGTGTTTGGCATCTGCCTCGAAGCATGAGAGTTTAGATCCCCTGTTTTTTATGTAATTGTGGTTGCTGTCGTCATCCATGTAAGTGCATAATCCCTTTTTTAATCCTGCTAAAATTCAGTGATCCCTCCTCAAACACAAACTACTTATCTTCACTTTAAGTCATCCTATCTATCCTCTCTTACATGCTGTTAAGTCACTGAACCTCACCTCAGCAGTGCCAATGATATCAGTCTTCATCGCCAATCAGTCCAATTGTCCCAAAAACACCTTCACACTTTCTCCAGTACCTCTCCTTATGGAGTTCCCCATAAACATCCACAAAACCACTGTAATATCCTCCGTCAAATGCCTCCTTAACTCATGATGCTTACAACACAGTTGACTGTATCTAGGCAGCTGGTATGTTAAGACTGCTGCTTCTTACTTTGTAGTTATAATCCGACCAACTCATTGCTACTTCATGCTTCCCCCATCTGTTTCTTGTATCCAGCTATTGTTTCTTGTCATATACTTGTACTGTGAGCTCTTTGGGGCCAGGGCGGTCTGTTTGTTATCTGTGCATAAAGTGGCTAGCACAACAGGGGACCCAACCGCTGACTGGGGCCCCAGGATAGTACCGCAATGCAAATCAATAACAGTAATAATAATAATACAGTAATAATGATGAAGGCACTAAAGGAAGGCAATGGCGGTAGTCAACATGTGAATTGACCAGGACGCCAATAAAATTCATGATGACAAAGATGAAGAGGAAAGACAGATTTTGAATATTTTGCCAGCATTTGGTAAAAATGTAGAGGAAAGAATGTAGAGGAAAAGAAGGAGAAATAAGAATTGATTATGACACAAAGGCTAAGCACCTGCAGGAGGGAGAAGATAGCAGAATTATCAGCAGCACCCCAGAGATAAGGGAGGGAATTGGGGAGCAAAGGTTAGGAACTGGTTTTTTGCCATGTTGAGTATGAGCTAGTGCTAAGAAATCCAAGATGAGATGTTGCAAAGACAGGAACGAAAGCAGGGTAGAAAGGTACATTTTTGTGGTCATTGGCAGACATGGCAGTTGAAGTCCTGAGAGTACAAGTCACCCAGGACTAGAGAACAAGGAAACAACAGGACAGGGACAAAGACAGATCCCTGAGGGATTTCTACAATGCAAGAGGAGCTGACGGGAGACTGATGTACCTGCTATCTGATTGTTGGTTGAAATGTTCTCGTAATATTTTGTAGGACTTCGCTCCCTTACCTCTTACCCTGTTTTGGCACATAAATGTCTAAATAGTTGGTACTGAATGGTTTCTTGTTCTCAAACATTTGGCTTCCCAATTCCGACTGAAAAGCTGTTGATTTGCATCCTTTAGTGGAACGTCAAAAATGAGATTTAAGAATTTTCTTTTGGAAGATCTCAACCTGTGGAGTCAGCAAACTATGTGTGAACCCCTTTGTTGGATGGGTAGTAGAATTCCCATGTCATTTTTCTGAATTATCAGCAATATGCTGTAGACAAAATAAACTTGTTTTGCCCTTGGAAGTAGTTGATTGCACACACAATTTTCCTGCCCCTTCAGAGTTTTATCTTTCAATTGCACACACGCTTTTTTGAAAACATTAATTAGACTTGCCATTGTATCTTACAGTATTTCTGTGGCTATTTGGTGTGACAAGGAAAAAAAGATTCTAACTCACGGCTTCAGGAAATGAGTGCATAATAATCTCACATCTGTTAAATTATGCTCTGCTTGTTCTGACAGTCAGTAGCACACTCAGCATTATTCTGAATTAAAATAGAGTGGTAAAGGAAATAAGCTTCTGCATTTGCTAATGACTCCTGTTTCTAAAACAGATTTACAAGTAAGGAGTGCAAACTACACAATAGCTTCCATTGTCTGGGTTCCCGTTAACCTAAGGGTAAATTGACCAAAAAACAACTCTAACAGGAGAGAGCTAGGAAAGGTCGCTATAGAGCTAATGCATGTGTTTCAGCTTGGTATCCTGGGAGCCCAAAAAATATACATGCCCAGATTTGCTAAAATGTAGCTATATGATCTCTTAGGACTGTAGGGTAAATAAAGAATGACAAATAAGATTGATTTTATATTCAGCTGGGGTTGAGTTGCATGGAAGATAGGGAATCTAGCGCTGTTCCACTGTCATATGGCAGATAGATTTCTCACTTTTAAAAAATACCATGTACGTGCTGATCTACATTTAGATAAATGATGAAGACTTCCGCCGAAAAACCAACAGGCTCCCCAGCCCTGGCTATTATCCTAGTAACATGATAGCTTGCTGCAGGGCACTGCACCCAGGGCACTGCATCAAACTGCAATCATCATGTGTGCCTCTGAACTTTTACTGCGTCCTCACTCTCGGCACTGAAACTGGGTTTAATTTAAAGTGAAAGCAGTGTTTGTGAAAAGTGTCAGATGGACTACTTCAGACAGTAAGTCCTCTAGTTTGCCACTGAAGAGCTACAGCAAAAGCAGTGCAAGCTTCCACACATTCTAAGGCCTTGTCTACACACCCAAGTTGTGCCACTGTAACTCTACCGGTATGAAAGTGTCTATAGCAGCACAGCCATTCCTGTATGGAAAGGGGAAATAAGCTATGCGGATATAAACACACTTATACTGGTACAGTTGTGTCCACACTAATGGAGTTTTTAACTACGTTAACTGGTTAAAAAAAATCACATCCCTAACCAACATATTTTTACCAATACAAAAACTGGATGTAGCCCAGGCCTCATTAATATCCAGCAGTATTTTAAAATCCTAGTACATTTACTATCATCAATGGTACAACTCAGAAAAACAGAATATGGGATTGAGAAGCAGCATTCAGCCAGTGCAAAGTGCTTTTGAAAATCCCATTTTGAATTTTTTTAGCCCTTCCAGTCCTCTTCTCCTTACCATCCTCTCATCTTTGAAATCCTCAAGACCCACTTCTGCTGTGATGCCAAAAGAATTCAGCCAGCCAATGATGGCTACGGTGATGAGCGGCAGTCAGGTAACTGCATTATCTTTTCACAGTTATCTCACTTGAGTCTTGTTTCAGATTTGATTATAAACACTTCAGGACAAAGCTTATGTCTTGAGTGTTTATACACTTCCTAGCAAAAGATGGCTGCCAAGCTGGACTGAGGCATTTTGCAGCTACCACAATAAAACAATGATAATTATGGCCTCGATACAGCTGAGCGGAGAACTGGAATTTCTTCCCATGGGAAATTTCACATTTCTGCAAAAAATTCATTCTGGTTTGGGAGCCCAGTAGTACGGGGGGGGGGGGGGGGGCTGCCTCCACGGCACCTACCTGCGGAACGTTGAAACGTTCCTGCAGAAGGTGGTTTCAAGAAATCAGCATTTTCTGATCGAAAAATGTTCCATCAGAAAATCCCAGACAAAACGTAGCCCTCCTCATTCATCCTATCAAGTTGACCTTTCAAAAGAAAATCAATCTACTGTATTGTTTCCATTTTGCTGAGCAAAAGCAGAATTTGGGGCTTTGCAGGTTAGTGTCCTATTTGGTACACCAGATTTACACAAGTTCAATTCCTTTGAACAGGGGTTGTAAGAAACAGTACACAGGCAGTTCCCTCTTGCAGAAACCTCAGGTCAGGCACCTCTGCTCTGTCCCCAGAAGCAGCTGTCTTTCTCCAGGGTCCTGCCAAACCCTCTGTCTGACCTGTCTATTTAGATTATAAGCTCTGTGGGGCTGGAACCATCTACTACTTTTGCCTAGCACAATGGGGTCCCCCACTCTTGGTTGACTGTTAGGCATTACTGCAATAAACATGCTAAATAATTGCACCATTGTGAATATTTTTCAAATTAAGGCACACTCATGCTTTTATAATAACCCTTTTGAAATGAGTTCACTAGAGCAGAATTTATCCCTTATAAGCAAACGATTCAGACTTTCTTCTGCCTGAATCATGAGAGCTATGATTTACATTGTGATGTATTTAGTTAAGACTAAATTGATGCCTAGTGGAAAACCACCATGAGCTAAGCCAGCCCCACTGAGGGTGTTTGGGGAAAATAGTTGCAGGTATTTAGCCCTGCTTTCAGTTACCGCAATCGAAGGTCAGTCTAATTACCTCAGCTCCTACCAGAACTGTAACTTGAATTCACATAGACCCCTTACAGCTAGACAGCATCTACACCCATAGCTCAGCAAGTGGACTATCAAACTCTCAGACCCCTGCTACTCTAGGGAACTATGGGCTGAAAACTGCAATGGACCTCAGCTCTCTCAGCTGGTATTAAAGCGCCACACTTATAGATTTCGAAGCTGGGGCCAACCCATTTTACAGCAGTAAACATACTTTCTTCTCATGCCAATAGCCTAAGAAGGGCCTGTGCTAGAAGTGAAGCTCATACGTAATAAGGTTATGAATTCTATAGGAGCTGATATGTAAGAATACTGAAAAGTCACCCAGTTTATTGCGTGAGATTGTATAACTTACATTGGGATAGTGGAATGTTTATTATATGGCAGAATGGTTGCCTTGAATAGGGGTTGTGGGGAGAACAAACAGGGAAGCAACACAACACCTTCCCAGATAAAAGCATCTAGCTACACACTTAAGGGAGATAGGTCAGGCTGTTAGCTTTAAGGATCTTGTCTCCAGTGAGTTTCAAACCTTGTTTTAAGAAAAGGAGTACTTGTGGCACCTTAGAGACTAACCAATTTATTTGAGCATGAGCTTTCGTGAGCTACAGCTCACGAAAGCTCATGCTCAAATAAATTGGTTAGTCTCTAAGGTGCCACAAGTACTCCTTTTCTTTTTGCGAATACAGACTAACACGGCTGTTCCTCTGAAACCTTGTTTTGTTAGGCTAAGAGGCTAGAGTCCAAAAGAAGACTGAAGAATTAAGTCTTTCTGAGGGGGAAAGACTTTCAAAAGCTGTCCACGGAGACAGTGAGCTGTAGCTCACGAAAGCTTATGCTCAAATAAATTGGTTAGTCTCTAAGGTGCCACAAGTACTCCTTTTCTTTTTGCGAATACAGACTAACGCGGCTGTTACTCTGAAATAGAAAAGAGAGACTCTGGAAGGGAGTCTAAAGTAGTTGGGCCTTCCCAGATCCAGGGAATGGTAAGCCTTAGGGAAAAAACTAGATATGCTTACAGTGACAGGCTACTGTATTGTTTTTAAAATATGTTTTTCTCTGACATACTTTTGTTCTAATCAAATAATACTTTCAGGAGGTTGTTTGATCACTAATTACCACCGTCATTGCCTGGAGTGCGGGCCAACAAAATGCAGGGTGCATTCATAAGTCAGACCTGCATTATGATTGAAACACAGGGGACTGCATCCCAGCCCTTGGTATGAGAGTGGAAGAATCATGTGATTCCATCATGAGAGAGGTGGCCGTCCAAGGCCTGAGACCTAGTGGGATGTACTCAGAGACTGGTAGGGGTCAGAGGTGAAGTTCACACTGTAACTGTGAAGGACCAATTTGTTCTTTCACATTATTAACATTCTTTATTTTATTCATTAGCATAGAACTAATAGCATGAGATGTGTTTTACTGACTGGTATGAAGACAAAATCCTGGCCTGGAAGATGTTGCAGTCTAAACAGATCTTGTAAAGACAAAAGATGGGGAAATATGGCAAGAAGGGATGTGTTTGAATGTGCATCTTGTTAGTGTCAGGATTTGTCTGTGGCAGGCCCAGCTAGGTTGTGTTGCCCTATGGGAAGACGTACATTTTAAAGGTAACCTGCTAAGGATTTTTTTAAAATTGGGAATATGTCCTTCAGTGCTTGTTTCTAATGTAGACACAAAGGGGGTTGTTGTGCTGTTTGGTATTTTTTTCTTCTTAAAAATCTGAGAATTATAAAGTAAGGAAAGTCTGCACTTTCCTAGCATCCTTGGGTGACCAATGGAAGTAATAGGGGAGTTTATTGCAGGTATTTAACATCACAGTTGAAAAGGTGAAGGTGTTGAATCTTTAACAAAGGCTTCCTCTATTGAAAATATTAATTAGCCATTGACAACAAATGCATTTTAGTTGATCAGACTCGAAATCCTTTCCGTGGGCAAAAGCTAAATTTTCACTTATGATTTCAGTATTACATTAGTTTTCTAGTTATTGAAGAGTTTTCCAGTTTAGAATAGACCTAAGTTTCTAATAATCAAGCAGGGGGAAGAAGCGAAGGGGAAAATTAAAAAAAAATCTTTTACTAGTCCTTTATAGATCATAAAGAAGCAAAATAAAAGCCCATGTTTCCCACCTTTTTGCAAGTCAGCTTCAAGGAGGGACTTGCAGGAGGTGAGCGTGAGGGTATAGCAGATGAGGACAAAGAGAGAGGTTTAAAATTTCCATTTAGTAATAATCACTGGGCAGAAGGAGCACTCCTTTATATATCCATTTTCAAGGCTGACCCATACATTGACTCAAGAGATTTGTAAAACCTGTGTTCCTGTGTGTTAAGAAACCAGACAGAAAAATCATTGTTTTGAACAAGCTGCTCTTATTTCTTTTCACTGTTATCAAAAGCATGTTAACAAGTCATTTATTACTACACATGAAGATATTTATTTAGTCTAGTGAGAGCACATTGGTTAATTCTAGCACACATCCTGTACCAAGTAATCTTAACTGGAAATGTTCTAGTTAATTTCTAAGCAGATCATTCCATAGCAAACAGTATACGATTAATTTCTAGACCAGACCCCCAAACAAATCTTGAGAGAAACTATCCATCAGCTTCTCGGGAACAGAGGCAAAGTTTGTTCAGACGAGATGATCACAGTGGTCCCTTCGAGCCTTATAATCTATGAATCTAAGACCTGTGGTCTCTTTGGTACCTTGCACTAGGATCACTGGGCCAGTACAGAATCAGTGAGCGAGAAATTGGCTCCCTGATGCATCTCACCCTGCACCAAGCAGGACTCAAGATGCAAACAATCAAGAGATGAAAATCTGCTTGGGGTTTTTAGAGGCTGATGGACAGGCTCATCTCTGCCAGGGTCCCCTTTTTACCCTTTAGTGCCTTCAGTGTATGGGAATGGGCTGGTAGCTCTTTAAACAGTTTGGGAGCCCTCTCATGCCTCCCCCCATCCATTGCAGAAGCCACCAATTCCTAACAGAGTAACTGTATATATGTAGCTAGGCCTCGCATGTTTGTATATGGTTAGAAGCACGATTCTTTGGAACCCAACTGAGTCTGTGCTTTCTTCATATTATTAATGTTGTGTAGAGAGCAAAGCCACAACAGTGTCATAATAGGAAGGGAAGATGAGCCAGTGTAACTTTCTTAACTAACTTTGTGTCTTCATATGCAAGTTTCATGTGCCTTGATTTAGTGCATTCCACTGTTTTTGATTGCAAAACATTTAAACTGGGGAGTAAGATAACCTTTTATTTAAAAATTACTAGTAAAATTGCATGGGTGATTTCTCTCGCTCCCTCTTTTCCACTCTTTTCTTTCTCCTTCCTCTGGCAAGCCCATTAGCCATGATACAGTACCCAGAAGCTGTCTTGTCTGAAATTTTTCATCACCAGAATTCTGCCAGCTCCTGCTGATGGAAGTCCTGGCACAGTCAAGGAATTATGATGTGCTTGGAATAAGAGAGACTTGGTGGGATAACTCACATAACTGGAGTACTGTCATGGATGGGTATGAACTGTTCAGGAAGGACAGGCAGGAAAGAAAAGGAGGGGGAGTTGCATTGTATGTAAGAGAGCAGTATGACTGCTCAGAGCTCCAGTATGAAACTGCAGAAAAACCTGAGAGTCTCTGGATTAAGTTTAGAAGTGTGAGCAACAAGGGTGAGGTCGTGGTGGGAATCTGCTATAGACCACTGGACCAGGGGGATGAGGTGGATGCGGCTTTCTTCAGGCAACTAACAGAAATTAGTAGGCCCTGGTTCTCATGGGGGACTTCAGTCACCCTGATATCTGCTGGGAGAGCAATACAGCAGTGCACAGACAATCCAGGAAGTTTTTGGAAAGTGTAGGGGACAATTTCCTGGTGCAAGTGCTGGAGGAA